CACTGAACCTACTGTTATGCTCTAAAGACTAAAAGAGATAGGTATATAAAGTATTTGGTTTGTAACAACTGCCTGTTCTAATCCTACTCTACTTTCAGCTCAACTATTACTGTAAAGTTTCAGTCTCACTCCTTTTTATCAGTGCAGGTCAGTCAAAGCCATTCAAAGCAACACTGTATTAAGCCTTTTTGGCTGTGCAGATTTCCTCTGACTTCTGTAGTAACAGTAACTCCTTTGTTGTCATATCTCCGCCAACCCCCACCCCCACCCTAAAGTCCTCCCCTTCTATCTTAATAATTGGTCTTAGTAACTTAAGAAACAGGCATAGGACTGGCTAGGAAGAAAAATCAGGTCACTGTCACTTTGTTTACATTATAAAAACCTGCCCTTGAAAATTTCTCTCACAGTTACCTTCTCACAGCTACTAAACAAATCCTTAATGCTACTGGTCATGTCCTCAGTTTTACACACTGGGTAGACTTGTGTTTTTTAAGTGGTTTCAGTCTGTCAACAAAGTCACACGTGAAAAAAGTACATTTTATAGGTTAACAGTGCTTTTTATGGTTCTAGAGTAAAAACTAAAGATGTCTTTAGGGAAGAATCTTAATCTGTTTGCCCCAGAGTCCAAAAACAACAAAGATTCTTAAGATTCTTCTTAAAAGTTAAACTGTCATCTCAATTTCAATTTAATTATACTGAAGATTTTTCTTAGAATAGGGGTGTAATTTCATTTCTTAAATGCTCGTTGTAACACCTAGATTGTTTTATGACTTTAGTAACTTAGATGTACAAAATATAACTGTTTTGATAGAATGGATGGAGAAGGATATTTTAAAAGTTGAAAAATATAACAAGAATATCAGAAAACATAAAGAGCAGTAAGAATTTCAAAAATCTGTGCTTACATTCTGAGTGAGAATACTAATGTTCTGGTTGTAGAAAATGCTATTGTTCATAATATACTAAATGAAGAAAACTCCATATATGCGTGAAAAAATTGTATGTGGATAAAAAAGAGAGTAGAAGGATCTATCTCAGAAGCTTGACACTGGCTAATTTCAAGTAGTGGAACTAGCAGTGACTGAGTTTGCTATTTCTGTGTCTCCGTATTTCCTAGATTTTTCTACAATAAACTTACATAATTTTAATAATAAAAAAGAATTTTGTTATAAAATATAAACTAAGATAAAGAAAACAAATTTTGACATAAGGTCTATAAATAAGATAGATTCTACTTATGTATTTTAAAAAATGAAACAGTATGTGAATTTTCATTTTCCCCAAACACATGCACAGATTTAATTCTGCCTTGAATTTTATTAGCACCAAGTGTGGAAGAGCCCCTTCATTACATAAAAATGTGCTGTGTTGATGTTTTTAACAATAAACTTCTGAACTATCAAAAAGGATGCAGATCAGAATCAGTGAAGAAATAGTTTTTAAAAAACCAAAAGCTACAAAACTTAAGACTCCTGGTAGAGTCATACTGTGAGCCTTCAGTGACACTGAGGCTACTAAACTTTCAGTCACTTGATAAATACAAAGAGATGAGTAAGAACAACAATGAATGGGTAACTTATTTTATACATGATTAACAGTATTTTTATATTTTTAAATCCTCTTGAAGATGATTTTTGACTATTTTAAGTTAGTCATGTAACTATGGATAGATAACTTATTTAGCCGATTCATCTATCCTTCATTTTCCTGGATTCCAATTATTATTTGTAATTATACAGTGCCTCATTTATTGGCAACATGTCAACTCTCTGACTTTCTGGTTCAGCTGCCCTGATTCTGCCTTGATCACTGCAGATCAGGTCTCACTTACTTTAAAACTCCACTTACCTCATCTGATTTTATAGACACTAGGTTTACATATCAATTGCCTACTCTTACCTTCCACTGCCAGGTTCAAAACCAATTAAGATACTTGGATAACAAAGGAAGATGCGCTACATACACAAAACCATAGAAAACCATAGGCAGGTAGGAATAAATTTAACCTTTTATTTTGAAATATATCTTTTTAGAAACATGATACTAGGAACTAAGACTACTTTTCACTTAAAATTTTAGAATTTAAATTATTCCATAGGTTAAATATTTTTTCCAGAAAATAAAGTCTATATCTAATTAAATTTCTATGTTAACCACTCATAACTAGGTCTAAAATGTTAGCTATTAACCGTAAACAGCATAAAATAACTCGGTTAACAACTAGGGTACATTCTTGAAACTGAATTTACAATCCAACGGCGTAAAAAATAAGCTCACCTGCAAACATTTATCATTTTTTCTTCCTTTCCTCTCTATCTACCTTGGCATATTTCCTTGTTTTTTTTATTTTTTTAAATGTATTTTTTGAAAAAGAATTAAGAATATAACAAAAAAAGTGGACTAAAATACAATGCTATCAATAAAGTATTAAAAATAAAACTTACCCTTACTAAAATGTAAATTCTCAAAGATACTTAAAATAGTTTTCAAATAGCCCCAATATTTCTTTGCTTACTAGTGAGATTGATCATTTTTCTAAGTTTATTAGCTATTTCCTCCTGTAAAAGCTGCTTATTCATGTCTTTTTTCCATTTATCAATTTTATATTTTCTTATCAATATGTATGAGCTCTTTATAAGTAACATGGTTATTATCCCTTTCTGTCATATATTTTACAATTTCCACCCACATTTGTTTTCTTTTTAATTGGTTTTGGTTTTTGGTTAGTGCTCTCTGATTTCTTAATCATGAATTCATTATGTTAAGTATATAACAATAATAAATAAATTTAGGAATTCTATTTTTTCCACGAGTGAAAATTAGTGGGGTAATTTAGTACTAATAAGATTTCCAGCAAAACAGAAAGACAAACTTCAATCTTAGTTTGTCACCTGGGAAAAGCACTTCAGAAACACATTCAAAACAACTGTATTATTTTCAAAATGATCAGTCCTGTATAAGTCATGAAATGAACACTATTGTCCAGGGAGGCATAAGAATACCAAATACAAGATAGGTTACCCAATGATTACTCAAACCTAATAACAATGATTAAACACAAATAATTTATACTGAAAAATTAAATATGTTAATCCAAGGAATACAATTATGGAAAGTCCTTTGTTTTCCCTTTAAGGAGTTTCATTGGAAGTATGAAAAGGAGTAAGATTATGTTTCTTTTTATGAATATTCAGAAAACATGATTCCCCAAATTATGCAAAATAGTTTTTCTTCATGAATAATTTTAAAGATAAAACCAAGATAAAACATAGAAAAATAGTAGCATAGAAAGTGCTAAGACAAAAATTAAAAGCTTCCCATTAAAATTATCACATAATTATCAATAATTATATTGATGCAATAAGTATAAGTGTATATCATGCATTAAGAAAATCTGATATACAAAAATCCAAATTTACTTAATAAAGTATAATAGGTGCTTATATTACACAATCATATTTGGTTTATAAAAGGATTCAATACAAATTTCTAAATGGTCATTTTCCTCAACAAAACTAAATGTATAAAATTTAGTATCTCTTTGACACAGTGATCCAAGCTTCTTCCTTGGACGATGTTACCAGCTCATATTTAGTTTCAATAACTTGTCCCTCTACTGAAAGTAGGTGTAGTCTCCTCACCAATACACTCAGAAGTACTGTAGTCACCATATAAGCAAACCTAGTCAGGAAGAAAGCAGCCTCGTTACTAAAGATTAACAATTACATTTTAATTATACAGATTGCTCATTCTCATCAACATTGATCATCAAATTTATAAGTACAAAGTCTAACATCTTTCCTTTCACTTTACTTCTTCTGTCATCTCACCTCAGCTCTGGCCATTCCTGTGTGCCTGAGAATCCAAGCAAGGAGAAAGTTTTCATTATCGATTCGTCATCAAAACGGTCTGGATCAAACCTAAAAAGATTTGGGGCTAATTTAACAGAGCTCCATTGGGATTTTACATATTTACACTGTAAGAACACAGGTAGATAACAAAGTTAAAAACTAATGAAAATAGAAACTGCTGGCACATTATATTTAATTTTCACCTATTATTATGTCCCCAAATTACTGAATATTATATATATTTAGTTTCTTTCTGCTTACTTTATTATTCCAAACAATAGATAAAAAATACATTTCTGTGAAACCAGCAATGAGTATAACTGTAACACAAGTTTACATCATTTTATGAGATATAAGGATAAAACATACAAAATCACATAATGAATATTTAAATTTAAAAGTGTTAGAAATATCAGTTACATGAGACCATCATTAATATGCAAGGCATTTTATGTTGCTTCGTTAATTAAATTTATTCCTTAAAATTGGAGACACCAGACTTAAAATTATATTCAGCAATTAATTACATTACATCTGCACTTACTGATGAGTGAGAAAAATGAAGAGGCAAAGGTTTTTCATTGTACAGATTTCACTCTGAAAACTGTCACAGGGAAAATGAATATACTAAAACAAAACAAATAAACCATCCATTACTGAGCATAAAATTCCCTCTCAAATACAAATGTTTTTAGGAGATCTTAACTCTATAAGAGAAAAAGAGAATTCTCTTTCATTTCATTTTTAAAAAGTGTAAATTACTTTTCATTTTTGGAACACACTTCTTATATTATAGTTCATATAAAAATTATATCTAATTTAATGTTTTTCCTTTTATAAACTATCTTGAAAATAGAAGCTCTAAATGTTTATCCAAAGATGTCTATCATTTTCAGATTAAAAGAATCAAACTTGATTTTTCCAATTATTTTGTAAAACACAATTTTTCAACAAAACAAATAGACAACTGATTGCTGATATATAAAGAACTCATACAACTCAACAACAAAAAAATAATCCAATTAAAAAATGGGTAGACAAAAAAAGAAAAAAATGGGCAAAAGACCTGAACAGACACTTCTCCAAAAAGGATATACAGATGGCTAATAAGCACATTTAAAGATGTTCAAGGTCACTAATCATTAGAGAAATGCAAATTAAAACCACAATGAGTTATCATTCTCACGCCTGCCAGCATGGCTA